GCATTTAACGTTGAGGTTAAATTTTTTTTTTTATAAAAAAGTGATAATAAATTTTACTTTTCACCTGTTCGACAAGAGGATTCAAAAAAAAAAAAAAAGAAAAAAAAAACGTTTGATTTTATGCCAGGACGATTTATTATGTCGGACAAAAACGTTTTTATATAAAAAAAAAAATTTTTTAACCCCTCTCACTCTCTCTCTCCCTCTCACTCTTTTAAAACAAAATTAAAAATTTTTTTTCCCTTGTAAAACTTACTAAAATAAGTTGTTTTCCCTTTTGTTTCTGATTTTCCTGTTACGTTACGATCATCTCCAGGACTGAATCCAGATGAGACGCCGGTTGTTTCATTCGCGTATGCAAATCTAAAATAATAATAATAATAATAATAATAATAATAATTACAAACATAACAAATTTTTTAAAAGAATTTTCCTACGAGTGTTAATAATAATAATTTTAAAGTTTATAGCTTTTTTTTTGTTGAAAAATTCGTCTGTTGCTCTTACGTCACGATTCGTTCCACTTTTAATTTTTTGTAAATATTTATTACAAAAAAAAAATTTAAGTTTTTTTATTTTTGTTGAACAATCAATCATTAGAACAAACGAATTCAAATAATAATAATGATGATGGGAACATACCTGCATATTCTCCATATTCCAGAATGACTAGAATAAAAATATCTTTTCGTCGATGGCACATAAATACCATTTCCGCCGTTGACAATAAACCAATAATCGGTTGTTATCGATATACACCAAACGGCTATGGACAAACCGACAAACACCGTGCACAACATTAATATTCTCCTTTCGAAAACAATTTCATTATAAAGTCTTTCCAATCTTTTTTTAGTTCTTTTCCCCATTTTTTTTTTTTTTTATTTTTATTTTTCTGTTTCCTTTTTAATTTTTTTTTTCATTTAATTCTTCTTTTTTTTTTCATTCTCACGAATTTTACACGAGATCATCATCATCATTATCATTATTATTACTTTCCTATCTTTTCTTTTTCATTATAGTTACTACCCTAAGCACACAAACCCAACACAAACACGACAACGTATTATTTTATTGTTTATCCGTCACCTGAAAATATTTATTTAAAATATATTAATAATGATAATGATTATGAGAGAGAGAGAGAGAGAGAGAGAAAATACAAAATATTTTTGGCGGTAGAGGCAGCGGTAAAGATACAAAAGACGCCGCGTGAAAAATTTTTTTTTCTTGTGTTTTATTTATAAAAAAATTTCACAATACTTTTTTTTTTTTTCGGTTGTTTGTTGGTTGTTGTTTTTATTGTTAGCTTTCATTTTTTTTCGTATAGTAATATTTTGCGAAGAACTACAAAAATTTTTTTTTTTTTTTTAATTGGGTTTCAAAAGATTTGTTACGTTTGATTTTTAAAAAAAAAAAAAGGCATCATTGCCAAAATAAAATTTTAGTTTTTTTATTATAGAAAATTCGAGAAGAATTTAAATACGAGAGAATTAATTGGTGGGGATATGTTAAAGAGAGAGAGAGAGAGAGGAAATGGGATATTCGTCGTGTGTATATACGCGATATAAATTGAACAAAAACTATAAAATTGTGTTGATGAATAATGCGTGGTAGGAAGACAACAGGAAGGCGGATCTGCAAGAACAAGAAGAAGGAGGAGGAGGAAGAAATGAAAAAAAAAATTTT